AGCGACATTTAGCGTATGTGTTCGGTTTGGTTCGAGAACAAACTTTCGATCCGTCAACCGTGACCATGTTTTCGAACGCATCCCACCCAGCAACGATTATTTGTGAATACCCCACAGGATTATCTTCAGATTAGCTTTGTTCGGGTTTGAAAAAGGACAGTTCTAGAACGGTTCAAAATGATCGCAGAGTTTTTTTTTATCGAAATTTGTGATATCCAAGTCGTTGTCATTTTGTTCATTGGTGAAAACTATCCGATTATTTTGAACCGCTCTAAAACTGTCCTTTTTTTCGAATCCGATTTTTGGAGCAAAATCCGAGAATTAGAAATTTCTCATAATAATTTTGGTTGGAAGCCCATAAAACTCCTCCGTTTTTTTATGGTTTTGGTAAAAAATTCGAGAATTATGCATTATGCAAAATTTCGTTAGAGGACTGGAGGACCCAAGAAACTTTACTCTAACTCCTTCTGTTTCTCCGAAAATACTTCACACCATTCAGACCGTGCGAACATAGGGAACAACTAGAGTAACTGTTTCCGTTGTTTTGGCGCCTAAAACCTAGAGTAACAGTTCTAAGCTGCTTTCTTTTCACGGGCTTGGGCGCCCCAGGGCGCCCTGGATTACGATTTTGAAATGTAAACAGCCGTTCTTTTCAAGCGGAGCGTCAAGCCTCGGGGTCGTCTATCTCCACCGCTAGCGCCTGTCACTAGTGTCAGATAATAATTATATGTCCTTATATTTCTTAGGTAATACGTTATCCATTATGGGAATTGAAGCATTTTCTAAAGAATTATTTTTCATTTGATTTGAATAATTTTAATTTTACACAGGACCCAGGACCATGACACAGATTTTGTAATTTGAGGTTAGATTTTGGAACACAGATTTTGATCTTTAATCACAGCTTCTTTAATTACCGTTCTTTTCAGAGCGTGCACTGTCGCGCCCTAGGGCGTCGAAGCTTGGGGTTTCAAAATTCTTCAAATTCAAAAAAGAGCAGTACCTCTAGCATCGCTCGTCGAAAATCTGGAGCGACATCTAACGTACTACAATAGTTGTATTCCTTTCAAGAGTTTAAAACACTAGAGCTACTCGTTCCGGTGTTAGACCCCGATTTGAAAGGAACAGATGCGCTGGCTTTCATGCATTAAATGGTGAGTTCGGGCTTGAGCAGTTCAGGTGCAACAAACAGTTTTCGAAAGGAATAAGGGTAACCGCGCACTAGCGATATGTTGTCGTGCGATAACTTTGTCGCAGTCGTGTCGCCGTAAAATAGGAATGGTTCTATTTTTTTATCCGCAGCGACTAATTTGTCGCAGAATGCGTGTATCATCGTTAAAATATTAATGTACCATTTTAGCGACTAAACAGTCGTACGACAATAAATAGCTAGTGCGCGCTTGCCCTAAGCGCGTAACGCCCCGAAGCTGTTCCGAGACTCCTCCTAGGTGTGAAAGGAATACAACTCATGTATTCGGTTTTGCTCAAACAAAATTTTCATTCCATCATCCATGTACCATGTTTTCGAACGTACCCCAACCTGAGAGCAAAATGACCCACATTTTGTGAATTCCCCATTTAGGGCGGCTTCTCATGAGCGTAATTTGACAATTATGGCGTGACAGCGTAGGTACCTGAATGCAGAATTCTGATTGGCCAAAATCTCGCCATATTGAATACGCTGACACTCTGCCGCAGATACGCCAAAAGTTGAACAAAGTTCAACTTTTCGCGTAAAAATTCAGCGTTTTTAGAGGTTAAGGTTGCAATCGTTCCGTTTTCTTGATTTTTGTAATTTACTGTCCATATTTGTTACTATTTTAGGCCGCGAAATATGCCTTTTTAGCGTACGTGGAGAAAAGTTATCGCTTCGGCCGCTTGTGGCTGAGGCAAGATGATCTCGAGGACGCTAATTTTGAGGTGCTCCACATCCGAAGCTTCTCACGCTGGTCCTTCAAACAACTGTTGTTTCACTGGAACGCACCCCACTTTAAGCGACGTGTTTTTGATACACCAAAAAATTAGCAGGAGCCTGAGAGCGAAGGGGAAAGGAAAAACAACAAACAAGTTCAGTTGCGCGAAACTGAAGCACTGGAACGCCGGAACAGCCCGGGGCGTTCTAGAGCAGCTCAGGAGTGCGTCACTGGAAAACGACTAGAGTCACAGTTCTAGCACCGTTTTTCGATAATCTGGAGCTACCTCTGGCGTACTACAATGTCTTCAGCTTTGCTCGAAAATAGCTTTCGATCCATAGACCAAGTACCATGTTTTCGAACGCACGCCAACTTGGCAGCCAAATTATTTGTGAATCCCCCACAGGGAAGATCTTTTATTTAAAGACGAGGAATGATATAAGGTGTGTTCTCACAGAAATTACAAACCAGTCAGAGCATTTTTGATTGGTACAAATCGCCAACAATCAATTTTCTGAGTGATTTCAACCAATGAAATTCGATTCTGATAGGTTTCTGATTTCTGTGCGAACAGATCTATAGGGTTATAATGTGGATTAGTAAACATTATGCCCGTATTACATCTGTGTATTTTTCCGTATATTTATTCATGTAGTTCACTAGTTCAGGGTGCCAACATTATTTTGTTTTTCATAATGCTGATTTATCTTGATGCGTTTGAAGCTTTTCGGTTGTCACCCTGAACTACATGAATAAATACACGGAAAAATACACAGATGTAATAAGGGCATTAGTTTTTTGCATTTTGAAATCACAATCTATAAAAATATTTGCCAATAACACCTCTTCTATCATATTAGGTCTGTTCATACAGAAATCACAAACCAGCATATGTGCTTTTCGGTGACCCATTTGAGTTACTCCTGAGCAGCTCAGGAGACAGGAATGCTCTACAATTGCTTTGCGCGTTCTAGTGGTTAGAGTGTCGTACACTTAGGGCGGGTATTATAAAACTACTTTAAGAGTTAACTTAAAAGCCGTTTTCCAGCTGTGTGCTTCAAGCACGGTGCAGCGCAGTGTTCTGTGTTTGGAACGCAAAAGTTAGCAGCTCTCGAAGCGTAGTAGGGCTGGAACACGAATACGCGCTTGAAGCATTTGCGCGCGCAAAAGCTCGATTACGTGCTCAAAAGCGTCAGCTGGAAAGCGGCTAAAGTTAACTTCTGGCATTATATGTAATTCAAAAAGTTAACTTCAAGGTAACTGTCAAGGCTGTTTTATAATACCCACCCTTAGGGAGGATTTTCATGCATCCGTTTTTCCGTCGAAATATGTCCGTTTAACATTCTATTCTGACATAATCGTATATAAATATGTCAAAATAGAATGTCAAACGGACATATTTCGACGGAAAAACGGATGCATGAAAATCCTCCCTTAGAGCTTTGCATGCAACCGTTTATCCGTCAATCCGTTGATCCGGAAGTATTCCTATTGGTCCGATATTCTGGCGCCAAAATATTGGACCAATAGAAATACTTCCGGATCAACGGAATGACGGATAAGCGGATGCATGAAAAGTAACCCTTTAAACTACTCATTTTTGTTATCCCCTGCCCCTAGGGTTGCCAGATACTTGAATTTTGAAAATAGGAGATCCTGTATGAAATTATATGAGATTGGATAATAATATATGAGAATATTTTATGTACCTACTGCAAAATTCTCAAATCCGAAAAAGCTCCCATCTTGACAATTAGCTATGATTTTTAGCAGATTTTGGAATGTATTGCTGGACATTCTTTTAGGTAGTTAGATACTCCTCCAGATCCGTCCGTCTCATTTCTTGTAAGTTTGGGACAACAAAAGAGTCTGGGGAGCAGACAGACGAAGCTACAAAGGATGCCGAACGATATTCCGCGTGTAGCTAAATTCACCAAAATGTTGCACCGATATTAATGGGTTCCAAAGCGTTTTGTTTTTTTTTTTCCTTTTATTTTTATTCATTATCTACAAAAGCGGCAACATCAATTCGACGTCATGTTTGAATTTGAAGATCCATTATCGACCAGACGACCAGTGTAAGCTTAAAACGCAAATTAAGAATTGGTTTAATTACTTTTTGATGAAAATATATGAGAAATAATCTCATATTAAACATGCCAATATGAGTCTCATATTGAAAATAGGAGGTCTGGCAACCCTACCTGCCCCATCGTGCGCCAACCTTTATTTCGGTGTTTCATGCTCCTGAAGTCCGAAATGGTGGGGGTTAAGACGAGAGCGTTCCAATGCTGCTTATGTCGAACAGTTCAAGAGCGTCATACTCCAGGAGCATGATACTCTAACAATTTAGGCACTGGTAAGCAGCTCTGTCAGAGCGAATTTCATTTATTGAAAACTGTCAGAAACAGTCGAAAAACTAGTTTCAATCAATGAAATTCACTCTGACTAGTTTGTGATTTCTGTGCGAACAGACCTATGGTGTTTTCTCGTGTCTCAACTATCTTAAAACGTTTTTCAAAACTGGTTTAAAACAGTGTGACATAACGTCAAAACTTTTTGGCGCGAGAAAATGGTTTGAGAGCAAGGATTGGATTGTATTCCGAAACTGTTTTGAGTGACGTCATGCGTCATGGGTTGATCGCGAAAATATACTATTTCAAACCTGTTTGGAATCAGTTTCAAAAAAGTGAACGCGAGAAAACAGCTCTAATGTTTTATACTTTTTTTTTCCACTTTTTTAGATGGACAAAAAAAAATCTTGTCTAAATGGCGAAGGTGAGTTTTGGATCCACCCTTTTCTATCATGACTACTCTCGCGCCACCTATTTTTTTTGCTGAGAAGTAAGAGTGAAACTATCGACTGAGTAATAAAAGCAATGGACAAAATGGAGAAATCGTCTAAAATGGACAAGGTTGTAGAAAATTAGTGAACAATAAACTCAAATCAGAAAGTTTTTTGGTTACTCTTTTTTCTACAATACGATTTAGAAAAAAAATAAAGCCATTTTCTGAAAGCGCTACGACAAATTTGTGGGCGTAAATGTCAGCTGTCAAAACTACTGCCTCCTTGGAGTTGCGCCGAACCAAAAGAACAAGAAACACGTTGAAGCGTCGTTGCGAGAGAAAACGCCGCCAAACGACACCGGATCAAGCAGAACGCGGCCATTTTGTCATTTACGTTTTGTGTCGAGGGGCGTCTGGTGTGACTCCAATCGTTCTTGCTGTTCAAAGTTCGATCTTGCACTGTTCGGCTTCGAAATTTTGGGGCTTTTCCTTTTCCAACTCTGTAGAGCATAAAGAAATAGACCCAAAGCAGAAGCTTTCGATTTTGGAGCAGGATTTCAGTTTGGTCTTGGGACCAGTATTGGAAAATTCAAAAAATGGACGTGGAAGGAGTTGATTTTGGTTCCCATGGGATTATTTATGTTACACAGGGTGAGTTGAACAGTAAATTAGCTAATTTTGGATTTAGGTACCAGACAAAAAGGGTGAAATTTGGTTTAGAACAAACCTACTATGAAATAGTCGTTTTTTTTTAGGAGTAGATACCTCTACAAGCCACTCGCAAAAATCCATCAAACTTATTTTTATTTTAACCCTTGGCTACTACTAAAAACTAGTTGTATTTTTATGTTTAAAACAATGTTTCTGGGCAAATACACATTGAGAGAAACATGGCTATAGTCTATTTGTAAATGCGCGGGAGTTGTAAATCAATGTCATAATTGACTCGCTATAGGCATCCCTATTTATTTTCCAACTAGTAAAAATTAAAAGTGGTATAGGTATAGCGTACCTGATTAGAATGAGAGGTATGTTTTGCCAAGTACCAAAACATGATAATAATCTCTCACTCTCTCTGTAAATTAAACACCCTTTAAGTCCTCTGATATGGGAACGCCAATCTGATACACAGAGATTCATTTATGTTGAATATAATCACAAAAATGCAAATGAGCCTAGACTCTTTTTGTACCCTAACAATGAACCGAAATAATAAATAAATATGTTCTATAGTCTAAAACTAAAATTTGATTCTAGAAAAAGAAAAACCCACTGTAACCGAATGGACAAACTCAGCCACTGAACTACTGTTGAAAATCTTGAAGAAGCATTACCAAACGCACTCAAACGATGGAAAATTCGGTTCTAAACGTCTTCTATATGAAAACTGCAGCATTGCCATGAAGAAAAAAGGGCTAAGGTATACAGCACCGCAATGCGAGAACAAATGGAAATCCTTGAAGAGAAGATTCTTGACTAATAAACGCTCTGCTACAGGAAAAGGAAAAAGAAGAATTCCCAGGAAACAAATGTTTGACGAGTATGTTGTTGATTATTGCCTTATTTTGATTCAAATTTAATTATTTTTCTTTTAGTGAAATTGAATTCCTATTACAATATGTTCATCCACAGTTTAAAAAGGAGCCTGAGGATGGCAATTCGACTGGAGGCTTTGACGAAGAGATGGATCAAGATGAAGAAAATCATGAAGAAAATGAAATGGATGAACCGAAATATACACAAACCGATGAGGAATTTGTTCAAAGGATGCTCAAAGGTTCTGATGACGAGGACCAGAAAGACAATGTGTTGGCTGAAAATATTCATTATGTCGTGTCTCCACAGCCAAAGCTTGAGGCCTCATCTGTTGAAACTCCCAAAGTTGACAATTTGATTGTAAATGAAGTTAAAGAGTTAACTAATGTAATGAGAAACAGCATGACAGCTAACACTGATTTGTTGAAAAGTCATGGTGCCTCCTACGAACAGATTCTGGTTTGTATGGATAGTTTGGACAGAAAGGCAGATGAAAGGATCGAAATTGAAAAGAAAATGTTGGAACAAAAGAAAATTCAGAATACCTTGTTGGCCAAAATTGTGCAGAGGCTATCCGCCAACAATGGTTCTTTCAATTAGGATTAGCATTATTATGTATAAAAATTATTTTATTTTTGTCTTTTTTTGACTGCTTCTAAACCTAGGACCGATTCTAATTTAGTTTTAATCAATATAAAATATATATATGTCTTTTGAATTTGATTTAATAAAGTAAAAAATGCAGAAAAAAAAAGGATTTTATTTATTTTGTCCTAAAAAAGAATGTACAACTTAAAAAATAATTTCTAAAAAATAAATAATACTCTGTCAAGATTTTTCAAATTAAAACTAAACTATTTTTTCCCAAGAAAGATTTTTGACACTCAACTTAGGGACGCTTATTGGTCGCAAGATGCCATTTGCACGACGTGCATTGTAAAACTGATTCCAACCTGCAGGGACACGGCATTCTGCGACCAATCATTGTTTATGTTTCAAAGTTTTCAATGCGAAAATCCATCTTGAGAAAAAATACAAATATAATGGCAACCAGATTTAAAACAATGTGTTCCTTACATTTTAATAACTGTATGAGGCAAATTATGTAATAAATTTTAATTTCACTTATGCAATATTTCATTTTATACTTAAATTCAAAAGTTGATAAAAATTCAGCTGCCCCAATGTATTTTTTTCAGCTAAGAACTGGACGCAACACTAATATTGCTTGTACTCGTAGTTCGGCTGTTCGATCTCAAATCTGAGCCTCTTTTATAAACTGCAAAACCCGCCTTTACCAGTTCTTCGGCTACGTCGATATCTTCATGGGATGTAACGTTATATAGATCAACCCCTAAAATACAAACAAGAACTGTTGGTAATGAGACTATATTAGTAGCACCTTTGAAAAATTTATAATTTACATCTAACTGTGCTAGTAGCACTCAAATTCCTTTAATGTATATATAATAAATTTATAATTTTTTAATAGTAATAAATAAAAATATCTTACGCTAGCCTCTATGAATTCTCAGTTCTTAACTAAATTTTTGATGGATTTTTGACAAAGGACCCCGCACACGTCTTATGGGATTTCTGACCGAGGTCAAATTTAACCAAATTTTAGTATGTTTTCATTTATGTAAAATGACGGTCATTTAAAATCGTGACGGTCATTTGCGTCATGACCATGGTCATAGCTCATAGTAATTATTTCAATTTAAAACGCCACTATCAAAAATGGGTTAAAAGTAAGGATAATCAATTAATGATTATAACGTTTTGACAAATTATCAAGGATTTCAAAATAGAAGAAATTTCAACAAATTACAAAATAGGTGAACAAAAGCTATTCTAGCCTAGCAAGTAAAATAAAATAACAAAAATAATAGTTATCTATTCATCTAACAAATGCAGAAGTGATACTTCACCGCACGCAACGGCAGTCGTTAAGTGCGGTAACGGCATTTTTTTGCATGTGTTAGGTACAAAATTATACCTATGAGCATCCATATCTCTCAAAGAAAGCATTATTGAAATTTCTGAACGAGAAGGGATTTTTGTGTGTACTTAAACACCGAATCTACTTAACCGTTTACTATGCAGTCTACTTTACTGCATATTTCCACACTATGCGGTAAAATGGTCATGACCAACGGTCACATTGAATGTGACGTGACGGTCATGACCCGCCGTCATGCGCGCTGGTCATGACCCACTAACATCACTGTATGTTTTAGATCTGACCTTTCCAATCAATACCTACCATGGGCACAACTTAATTCTATGACTAGTTTTTGAGATAAAGGTCTAAGAAATGTACACATTTTATATGCATTTGCATCTACTTGTCATCTGAGCGTAAGGATACCTATCTATCCTGGTATATTATTAGATGACAAGTAGATGTGAATACATATAAAATGTGTACAGGGTGTTTTTTTATATATTGATACCCCACCTACAGCCTTTACCTTTACAGGTTTTGGCTGCAGAAACAAAATTTGAATGTCAGAAATATGAAATTTTGAATACTTTGAGCTTTTTTCAAATGGGATGCCCTATATTTCATTCTATATTCTTGAAGAGCACAATGCCCCGATTCCAAAAATATATAATATAGTTTGTCTATATTTGATTGAACAGTCTCTCATATATTCGGCTCCAAAAATTGTAAAAATACTATCCTACTACTGATTTTGTGAACCATTCTACCTGTACAAGTGAAAGCCACAGGTAAAATTTGCGTACTTGGTTTCTCTGATAGTATTTTTAAATTTTTGAAACCAAATATGTTGGAGAGGGCTCAACCAAATATAAACAAACTATATAGTTTGGGAATCGGGAAATTGTGCTTTTCAAGAATATAGAACCAAATATAGGGCATCCCATTTGAAAAAAGCATGCAACATTTCACATTTCTGACATTCAATTTTTGTTTCTGACCATGGATTTTAAAAATTTAGCCAATACTGTACAACTTTTGTATTTACACCTTTCATCTACTTATAAAGGTGAAAAAACTCCCTGTATTTGAACAATAACTTATTATCTTGCTTATTAGATAAAGTCAGAATTTCTGAGATTATCCACTTTTTGTCAATTTGTCTTTTAAACAGGAATTAGTAATGTTACTTTACCAAACTAGTAACATAATGTGACAAGTTACAAGTTCCAGTACAAACGAGTGGATTGTTGCGGAACTTATGTGTGGACCTCTGCGGGACGAGCGCAGCGAGTTCCGCAGTCATCTATTTATTAATACTTTGTTCAAGTACGATACTAACCTGACTCACTCAAATCTCAGTTATTCTCATTAGTTCAAAAACTACACGTTTCAGGTGTGTCTTATTTGAATAGTTAAACAGTATATTGGTGAGTAGATGGCTGCGGAACTCGCTACGCTCGTCCCGCAGAGGTCCACCCATAAATTCCGCAACAATCCACCTATTTGTACTTGAACATTAACTTATTATATAAAGTCAGAATTTGTAAGATTATCCACTTTTTCTCAATTTGCCTTTTAACAGGAATTAGTAATGTTACTTTACCAAACTAGAAATATATTGTGACAAGTTACTCGAGTACACACGAGTGGATTGTTGCAGAACTTATGGGTGGACCCAGTCATCTATTCACCAATATGTTGTTCAAGTACAGTGCAATACTAACCTGATTTACTCAGTTGTGAATTTTTCTCATAAGTTCAAAAACTACACGTTTCAAGTGAGTGTCTTATTTGAACAGTTTAACAGTATATTGGTGAGTAGATGGCTGCGGAACTCGCTGCGCTCGTCCCGCAGAGGTTCACCCATAAGTTCCGCAATAATCCACTTATTTGTACGAGGTGTTTTTTTTTATATAAAGTGCGACAAGTGAGTGAACCTGTGTGGAGGGAATGCGGGCATAGCCCTCCTGATTGGCCCGAGATTAAATATACATATACGCGAATCGTCGCGTCAGGGGTAAACGCAATTTTCGCAATGCACCACGTCGGGGACCCGTCGCGTCGTATAGTATAGGTTTTCGTCTTCCCCTCTGCTACTTCATACGTTACCAAGGTTCACGCACTTGTCGCACTTTACAGGGTGTCCGTTTTAAGTGATGCCACTATTGCTATCTCCGTAACGGTAAGAGCTACGAGGTCGGTTAAATTAGACAAAAGTGGCAGACTTTAGTGTCCATTAAAGGTAAGTTCACAGGGTTGCCAAATTTTTGTTCGTTTCCGAGATATGCGGGAAAATGTAAAAAATGTCTAAAACTTATCCAATGAATATTTCAAAAATTATCATCTTTAGAAAAAAGTGTTTAATACAAAAGTTACCAGATTTTTTCTCCTCTACAAAATGGCGTAATTGTTATCTTCACACGGCTTTCAGTTTTTGAGATATCAGTACCAACTTCCTTTTTTCAACTATGGACCTGGATTTTTTATTTTATTTTTTTTAAAGAATTTTTCTTCCCCTTTAAAATGACCGATATATAGCGTAGGCGTGTTTTCGTTTTCCGACGTTTCGGTATGGAAATAGTCATCATCAACAATTTTTCCTTAGAACGGACCTGATGTATTGCACGCCTACCTAAAATACGGCAGTTCCTGCTGCATAAGGTATAGTTTTTTATTCTTTATCTTAAAGTTACTTTTAAATATCGGTTGGGTGAACGAGGCGACCAGTTTATGGGACCGTTATTACAAATCTAAACGATTGGGTACAAAATAATTCAGAAATCTTGTACCTACATCTGGGTTCATGATATGCCGGGGCACCATCTTGCTGGAAGTACTGGAAGTTTCTGTTTACAATCCAAGTAAAGATATCCTATAAATCATTCTGTAAAAATTGCCGGTACTTTATACCATTAAGGTTCCTCCAAAAAAGAAGAGACCCACTACTTTGAAGTCGAAGATTCCAAGCCAAACATTGATACTGACCAAATTTCTCTCTCCTGGAAACCTGTTTCTGTACGAATTTCTTGATTTTCATAAGTCCAACGATAGTGGATATTGCGATTAAACTACCCGTTATTGAAATGACAAAACGCACATGATGTACCATTGCAATAAAAAAAAAGTAGAACAAAAATCTCCAAAATATCTCCTGGTCTATTATACAATAATTTAATTTATAACCAAAAATTACATTATTTTGGCATTTTTTGACAAGTTTTCAACCTAGAAAGCTTCGGATGACATTATTTTGGCATTTTTCCACCCTTTTTTATCCTAGAATATGTCATTGCCTAAACCCAGCATATTTTGAAATGTTCATTTACTGTCAAAACTATCGAATTGTTAAAACTTTGTATGTTACATCGAGGGACAGAAAAATTCTTTCAAAAAATACAATAAAGAATCCAGGTCCGTATTTAAAAAAAATGAGTTTGGGACTGATATCCTAAAAACTGAAAGCCGTGTGAAGCTAACTATTACGCCATTTTGTAGAGAAGAAAATATCTTGAAACTTTTGTATTGAACACTTTTTTCTAAAGATGATAATTTCTGAAATATTTATTAGATAAATTTTAGGCAATTTTTACATTTTCCCTCATATCTCGGAAACGAACAAAAATTTGGCAACCCTGTGAACTTACCTTTAATGGACACTAAAATCTGCCACTTTTGTCTAATTTAACCGACCTCGTAGCTTTTACCGTTTCGGAGATACCAATAGTGGTATCACTTAAAACGGACACCCTGTATTGACACCCCACCTACAGCCTTCACCTTTACAGGTAAAAGAAAGGTGTAAATACAAAAGTTGTACAGTTATGGCTGAGTTTTTTGAAACCATGGTCAGAAACAAAATTTGAATGTCAGAAATGTAAAATTTTGCATACTTACTTCCAGCTTTTTTCAAATGGGATGCCCCATTCTATATTCGTGAAGAGCACAATGCCTCGATCTATATTTGATTGAACAATCTCTCATATATTCGGCTCCAAAAATTGTAAAAATACTATCCTACTACTGATTTTGTGAACCATTCTACCTATACAGGTGAAAGCTGCAGGTAAAATTTGAGGTAAATACTTGATTTCTCTGATAGTATTTTTAAAATTTTTAGAATTAAATATGTTGGAGACTGCTCAACCAAATATAGACAAACTATTGTATTGTATTTATGTTGATTTATGTTTATATTTATGTTGATTTTTAAAGTGACTTCATCTTTTGTTTTAATGACTGTTTAAATGATTTTATTGTTTTAGTCTGACCTTGTATTGTATTTTTATTTTGATTATTTCAATCTTGGTACTCTATGGCCCTGGAATTATTTTTGTATAATGTTTTTTTTTTCCCCTTTTACAGCTTTGTCAACGAGAATTTTGTTCTTAGACAATAAAGCATTTTTTGACTTTTGACTTTGACTATATAGTTTTGGAATCGGGAAATTGTGCTCTTAAAGAATATAGAACCAAATATAGCGCATCCCATGAAAGCATGCAATATTTCACATTTCTGACATTCAAAAAATTTGGTTCCATTTGACCGCAGTCACAAATCCCATATGAAGTGTGCAGGGTCCTTTAAAATTAATTTTGACAATGTTTCTTTATCTGTGGTTTCTTTCACAGAACTTTCCTTTTTGCTGGTCATTTTTTACAACAATATAGAGCGCAAGTACTTTTCAAATTAATCAAACGAAACAAAAAAACAAAATTAATAAACTATTCTAAACAAGAACTGTCAGAGCCTTAAATACAAAAAATTTCTATTTTTTTACCCACATTTTTTTTCCTAAGAAAGTCAAGAGCAAATGGATAGATAACTGCTGCTTACCTGGTACTGGTGAACCTTCTCTCCTTGTCCTGCTTTTCTCTTTAGCCATATATCCATTAATCCTAGCTGATAACTTTTTCCATTGTGCCACGTGACACAACTCCTCAAACCGATCAATGGCTTCCTCTGTCCAACTATCACCCATAGGATCTTTTATACAAAAAAAAAACATCAAAACAAATCCAATATACAAAAATTTAGTCACTCACCAACTTTGGCCAAAAAACATTCAATAGCTTGAAAATGTAACCTTAGCAGGTCAGTTCTTAACTCATACAAGTCTTTGCAAGGAAATACATCAGTGTCACCATAATCTACGTAGTAAAGTTTTGCCATTTTTTCATTATTTTCATGACTTACTTCGAGAACTTCGGCCCTATACCATTTACTATCATAACGGAAAATGGCTGCTACAAGATCGCCAGCCTGCACATCTTTTACACAGTGATTACTTCTATTTTCTGATTTATTATAATACTCAGTCATTTCGTCAACTAGGCAATCCAGCTCTGTGGCTTTTGGACCGACTATTTGCAGCCAGAATCTTGACGGGTTTTCCATTGCAGAAACGTATACTTCAAATTGATTATCTGGTTGACCTGAAATAAGTGCTAACTTGAACTTCTATCAGAGAAGAAATTTGTCTGTATAATTATTGGAAAAAAGTCATAGATAAATAATTCTACCTGGTATTGGAGACATCCTCTCACATTTTGGACTATCTTTTTTTACAGCTTCTGGTGATTTTGCTGGTAATCTAGGTTCCCTCTTAGCTAAACTTTCCTCAATAACTTGCCGACTATGTTGAGATTGTACCACTAAATCTTCTATAAGTGATTTTGCAACGATTATTTGCTCTCTTGTTCCTAAAAAAATATATCTATTATTTATTTGCTTCACTTCTTATTGAATTTTAACCTTTAATGGAGATTCTTCTAGAAGATAAACCCTTTTCGTCATCAAATACAGTTAATTTAGCCCCGGAAAGACTTTGAATTTCTTTGATTTTGTCTCCGCCTCTACCAACAATTTGTTTTACACAGCCAATTGGTACCCAAAAGTCTTCGCTCTCCATTATTGCTTCGCTATTGATAAAATCTTGAATTAAATTGTAAGCAATTTCGCAATTGTGTGCTGCGCCTCTTATTAGGCAAATTTTCTCGTTTTTGTTATCTAGTTCTTTGAAGCTTATCCTGGTATTTGATTGGTCCTGAAATAAACACCTTTAAACTTCTAACAAATCAAATTTCTTTATACATTATCCAGATTTTGCTAGGAATCCTTTGTATTGGTAGGAAATTGATAGAAATCATACAGTTTCTCCATTCAGTTGCTAAAATCTTGACAGTCATGAAAATTGTATGACATTGGACAAAGAGGTTTGTCTAAATTCTTATCCCGGTTGTTGATGTGGTGCAAAACTTAATGGCATATCTACATATTTGAATATGCTACTTTCTACTTAAAGAAAACATTAAAAAATCTATGCTGGAAATAGTTTCTCCCTACTCACCAGTAGTAGATGATCTTTTTTGGGGTGATTCAATAAAATAAATATGTATCCAAGATGAAAAAGAATGTGATCCAAAGAGCAAGAAAATTGAGTTGTAGTTATTGAATTTAACGAGGAGTCATTCACAATAGGATATCCTGTGAACACCCTGCAGGAGATATCCAAAATTCTTCAGGAAAGTCTTGGGAGGTTTGGGAGAATCTGGGGAGAATTCAGGGTTGGCAAAAATACAGATTTTTGAAAATGTCTATTGGGTTTTGGTAAGATTTTGTGATTTCAAGGGCAGTTAGGCTCATAGCTTAGATAATTATTATTTTTTTAATAGCTTATTTCTCCACAATAGTTTGCTGCCGCATGACGAATATGCAAATAGATACTTAAGTAAAAAAAGTTACAAAAGTTTGTTTGCATTACCCTCCTCCCTTTTTTTTCTTACCTCAGTGATGATTCATCAATTAAGTATAATAATATTAAGATAAACAAATCCTCCCATCTTTACTTGCTGAAATGCACAAAACACCAATTTCAGATTGTTTCGAAAATGTGGTGAAAAACCAAGGAGTAAACCACCCGTGAGATTTTTGACAAATATTTCTTTTTGGGGAAATTATTTCCTGAATGTTGCCTTTATTTCCTATATTTTCCAGTAATTCCCGATATTGCCTCATAATTCCCCATAATGCCTTATAATTCTCTCATATCTCCGGTAACTCCCTAATATTTAACATATAATTCCTCCGTAATTCGGATATATCCCCAATATTTCCTTTATTATTGTTAAGAAAAGGCATCGACAACCCGGCGAGAATTCTGAGAAAATGACTTGTTCACGTCGGGATGCGCGTCTTTCTATTCGATTTGAGAGCTATTTAATAGAGGAACAAGCAGTGAACTTTTATTGAAATGAAAAGTGACTTTATTACCGGATTTGACATTTTGAAACAAGGACACAAATGGATTTTCTGGAAAATTCTATAAACTTCTCTAGAACTCTATTTGGAAATTCTAAGTTATACAAGATTAGTGACTCTCTAAGTGGCGACATCGAAAAACCAGCTCACAAGCGGATTCTTGCGAGGATTTTCTTGAAAATTCCAAAAACTTCTATGGAATTTTATTTGAAAACCATAAGTGATATAAGAATCGTGACTTTATTGCTGGCTTCAACATCTAAAACAAGCTCAAGAGCAGATTTTCTGGAAAATTCTAGAAACTTCCATAGAATTCTATTTAGAAACTGTGAGTGATACAAGAATAGTGACTTCATTAGATTTCAATATAAAAAAACAAGTCCATATTTCACAAAGTGGTTTTCTTAAAACATTCCATTGTGTTCTATTTCAAAATTCCACATCATAGAACTTTAGGTTCAAAATCAAGTTTCAAGAAAGATACAGGATATTCTATGGTGAATATGATAGCACACCGGCGGCATCTGAAATGGTGCAAGTTAATCAAATCTTGTAAGACTTCATGAAAAACTTGGACGACAAGAGACAATAGGAAGACTGAAGCTCGGACTGAAGACAAATGGAAAGACTGAAACAAGAAGTCCGAAGACGGAAAGAGAAACAAAGAAGAATAAGACCGGCTTGCACTGCTTGCAGCACTTTCACAAAAAGAAGCCTGAAAACAGAAAGAGAAACAAGAAGAAGACCGAAACCAGAAAAGAGCGAGAATGGATGCAAAACGTAATCTCTGGGTAACAAACTACACTGGTGAAAATTCTAAAAGTACAAAATCTATTGATTTTAGGGACATAAGTGGTACCTATATATAATTATTTTTCTAATAATACCTCAATATTTCCTAATACTTAATACCTCAATATTTTCTAATGATACCTATGATACCTAATAATACCCTGAGTAATACCCTGATATTTCCTAATAATATCTCGATATTTCTTCATAATACCTTATATTTTCCCATATTGTTATGTATTTCCTTATATTTCCACTTCCTACCTAATATTTTCTTGTATATCCCCGCATTTCCACCGAGATTTCCACATATCTCCCGAGGTTATTGACAATAATTCCTAGGTGGTTTACCCCTTCACAAAACAATTATCATTTCTTAATATAGGTACCCAACCCACTGTATACTTATTATGCATCAGATAATATGTACTGGTACTATTATTATGTAAATATACGTCCAATCCAATTCATCTTGAGACAAACTTGCTGCTGATAACTATTTGCAAGATAAATTTACAGATCTATAATCCTATTGGTCACTGGATAATTCTTAATAATTTATTTACAGGAAAGTCCAATTTTTTTTTTCAAAAAATATATGTCTCAATGTTCTGAGTATACTTTTGTGTTATATATGAAAAACAAGTTCTGATACTGAATTATATATCCATTGCTACAGACAGAATAAACATAGTAGAGTTTTCTTCAAAACGCTGTCCTGAAAAGTTGGTAAATCAGAGATTGGCCACTTCGTAATGACAGCGACGAATTGATTGACCAATGGGATTACATATTGCGTTTTTACAATATTACCTGACAGCTTGCCTAACAGTTTATTAAGAGGCTTTTGAAGAGCCGGGAATAGACAAAAATTTTGGGAATTGAAAGGCAGACATTAAGGGAAAATGGAGAGGACGACACAGCATGCAATACGTTATTGAAAAATTTTCAAAATTAAGGCAGTTAATAATAATTTCTGTATAAAACGGGTTTTGCTCGAGTTTTTGATACAAAAAGCCCAATGAGTTTTTGTGATTATTGATAAGCCCACTAGGTTTTCAAAATGGGTGTTTGTGTATGCCAGCCCTGGAAGAGATTAGAGAAAATCTGAAGGAAATCTGGGGAGATTTGGGAAAATCTGAGGAGATCTATGGAAAATGTGGGAAATCTTACTGAATCAGACCGTGCGCGCGTTTAGAATTTAATTTTCTATTGATTGAGAATATTCAAGAGGATATCATATTACATACCACATTTTCTACTGAAGGAAAATAATCGAGAAAAATATTATACCTTATAGTAAATGGGGCTTTGATATTGCCAGGAAAGTAATAGATTAGGAGAAAATGCATGTTGTGTAAAGAAGAAGACCTCAGTAGTTGTGTTCTGGTCTTGGTTTAGGCTAGTAATTTTTGCTGTTACTTTATGAAAAATTAAAATTAGGGAGATCAAGCAAAATCTTGGGAGATTTGAGGAAATCTAAAAAAATCTTAGGAGATCCCAGGTAGTCTGGGGAAATCTGTGTCTTTTACATAAAAATATCTTTTGTACTTGCACTTAAATGTGTTGTGACTAACCCCTCAAAAATTAATAATGAGAATCTTGAACATCAAATAATAAGACAAATATAAGTCATTCTATTCCATTATGCATTACTGTTTCAACACTTACAGATAGATCTCAACTCGGTTGAAAAAAAAAAATCCAGAAAATGAGGAAACAAACCACCTAGGAATTCTTAGCCAAAAATGTGGGAAATTTAGTGGAAATTTAGAGGAATTTATGGGGAATTTGAAGGAGCTCATCAGAATTTATGAGAATTTGGGGAATTTATAGGGAATTCTGAAAAATTTATAGGGAATTTGGAGGAATTGTGTGGAATTTAAAGGAAATTGTAGAGTCATGACGTCCCTGAGGTTCACATTCTTATTATAAGAAGAACTAATAAATGGAAATTTGAAAAAAAAATCTAGTTTTGTGTTGAACGTTGACATTCATTTTCATTAAAAAACTTTCTCCCAAAATTACACTCCATGATTTACTTACAGGTCCAAATTTAAAAAATTCAAAACAATAATGTTTTTGTAGGCTGATTTCCAAAATTCTTCATATTGTTATTTTTCACTGGAAACATTTGAAATTTTGGGAAAATGAGCTTCTACCCTTCTTCTTCACATGTAAAAAGTTTCAAATTTTTCCGTTAACTAGTTTTCCAGGAAAACTTCTAAATGTGTAAGAGTGTATTTTCAATTAATTCAGTTATTGTAGGTTGATCTCCAAGATTCTTCATGTTGTTATTTTCCACTGGAAAAATTAAAAATTTTTGGAAAAAGAGCTTCTCACTTTCGTCTTTACATGCAAAAAGTTTCAAAATTTTCCCTTCACTAGTTTTCCAGGCAAACTTTGAAATGTGTGAAACTGTATTTTCAATTAAGTAATTCAGTTATTGTAGGTTGATTTTCAAGATTCTTCATGTTGTTATTTTCCAATGGAAAAACTTAAAATTTTGGGAAAATGAGCTTCTCACCTTCGTCTTTACATGCTATTAGTTTCAAAATTTTCCCTTCACTAGTTTTCCAGGAAAACTTTGAAATGTATGAGACTGTATTTTCAATTAATTCAGTTATTGTAGGTTGATTTTCAAGATTCCTCATATTGTTATTATCTACTTGAAAATTTTGAAATTTTTGGAGAATGAGCTTCTACTCGAGCATCTAACTTTCCTCTTCTCTTGCAAAAATTTTTAAACTTTTCCTTCCACTAGTTTTCCAGGAAAAATTTGAAATGTGTGAGACGGTATTATCAACTAATTTAGTTTTTGACAGGTTGATTTCCAAGATTCTTCATGTTTTTATTTTCCACTGGAAAAATTTGGAATTTTGGGAAAATGAGCTTCTCACCTTCATTTTTACATGCAAAAAGTTTCAAAATTTTCCCTCCACTAGTTTTCCAGGAAAACTTTGAAATGTATGAGACTGTATTTTCAATTAATTCAGTTATTGTAGGTTGATTTTCAAGATTCTTCATGTTGCTGTTTTCCATTGGAAAAATTTGAAATTTTGGGAAAATGAGCTTCTCATCTTCCTCTTTACATGGAAAAAGTTTCAAAATTTTCCCTTCACTAGTTTTCCAGAAAAACTTTCGAGTTGTGTGAGGCAGTATTTTTTATTAATTCAGTTATTGTAGATTGATTTCTAAGATTCTTCATGTTGTTGTTTTTCACTGGAAAAATTCGAAATTATGGAAAAATGAGCTTCTCATCTTCTTTACAGAAAAAAAGTTTAAAATTTTTCCTTCCACTAGTTTTCTAGGAAATTTTTGAAATGTGTGAGACTGTATTTTCAATTAATTCAGTTATTGTAGGTTGATTTTCAAAATTCCTCATGTTGGTATTTTCTACTGGAAAAATTTGAATTGAATTGAATAGTGTTGTAAAATTTTCAGTAATTTTCGAACGTTACCGAACTTTCGGGAATGTTTGAGAAAAGCACCTATAAATTCGGCTGTTTAATGTAGGGCTTGTGAAAATGTCTATTAATAATAAAGTTTCACTAAATTTCCCTATTTTTCTTTTCTCTGGTAGGAGTAGGTGAAGTTTCCATAAATGTAGATATAAGCTTTGTCTGTATTATTAATTTATTGAAAAGAAAATGTTAATATTTATGAAACTAATAACAAGTCTTGTTTCTTGTTAGTTGGTGTAATAAAAAATAAACTAAAAAACAAGGTAGATGGAGGTAGCAGTGGTAGCACCACAAAATAAAACTCAAAAATCTTTAAATGCAAATACCTACATAACATAACTACATAAAGTGTTAAGTCAAAACAAAAAATAATATAAAAAAATAAATTTAAAAAAAAAAAGAACTCTAGAAAAAGGTACTTATAAAACGAACTTTCTGTAGGTAATGGTAATATGTAACACAAGTAGTTATAAAATAGAAAAAATAATATTAATAATATTCAGAAATCAGGGTCCATTTCCATGAATAGTCAAATCAAATGATTAGGTAACGTTCAGAAATGCATTTTTAGCGAACTTTCGCTCAGAGAGGAGCGAACATTACCGTAAAATACGGTAATAGTGCGAACTTTCGCTTGGTAAAGTTCGCTTGTTACAACACTAGAATTGAATAATTGGATAATTGTAAAACATAATAAAAGTGAACATTTATTAGTTAGTTCTAACATTGTTTCAGAAGATCGAATAAACTTTAAAAGCGCATTGATTATGATTTCAGAATAGGTATAAAATCTCCTTAAAAATGACCCTGAGTGCAAAAGAACTTCAAGCTACTTGAAGTAGATACAAGTTTATTTGTATCCAAATTTGAGTATGTATCCTAGCATCATATTATGGAAAAAAGGCTGAATGTTGAAAAAAGGGTTTACTTATTTCCAAATTATGGAAAAAAAGAATCAGATGGTCTTGAAAACTTGTTCAACTTTTAGGAAAAGGTCCATTTAAAATAAAAAGAAACAATATACCCACCCTGAATATTGTGAAACAAACCTAAGTTGTTTAAAAAGTAGCTACATGACATGTACTATTCTTGGTATTATGGTATTATACTGTAAATATTATATTTGTTTTAATTTCCTAAAAAGATGTTTTTTATCAATTAGGTAATAATATCAAATCCGGGTTTAGGTTAGTTTAAACCCCTGCATTCTGGATTACCGAAAACCAATCAATGCATTGGATCATACTCTCGATCCTATCTGATAAACTGCTCTTGTATTTTTACTAAGCGAAATAAAAATAGAAAAAATAAATTTCTTATCACAAGCAATTATGGGGATTTTTAGGGAATTTGTAAGAGACATTTGCAGGAAACTTGAGAGGAGTTTGGAAGAATTTGCGGGAACTTGGAGAAATTTGCAGGGAATTTAGAGGGATTTGTAGGGTATTTAGAGAAAGTGTGACTGGGTATATGGAGGAATTTTTAGGGAATTTGGAGGAATTTGCAGGAATTTTGAGGAATTATGCATAAAAATTCTCCTTTGAGGAATTGTTTGCACAAATTCTGAGATGGTGGTTTATTCCTTGATTTGGATTATCTTCTTTTATTCTGATAAAGGCAACATGTCAAGAGTTGAAAATGTATTCTGAATTTCTGCAATTCTTAAAAATCCCTCAAAGTCTTGAAAATCATATCGATTTTTACCAGAAATCTTGAGAATCATTTTGTGATGGCAGTCTTGGAAATAGTTATGATTGCCATCAAGTTATTGCAGCTATTATTGACAAGTTCTCAAGTTTAACTTACTTGTAATCGTTTCAAGTTACTGCCATTCCTACCAATAAGACTCCCAATAATTTCTTTGGGCATTTTAATTTCCAAAACTCTGGTATTCGATGTGTAGTGATCCAACAGTTCATCTTCGTCGTTTTTTTTGTATATCTGATAGAGTACATAACTAGTTAAACTAACAGCAGTAATGCCTAAAAATACTGCTAGAGATTTTGCAATGGTCCTGAAATAAAAATTCAGGTTTGTATCAATTTGTCTTGGTCACACATTTCAAGTAGGAGTGAATCTTGGCACTTTATTAATATCAGTTGAGGATTGATAAAAATAAACTTGACTAGGGGATTTATATGAATAGAAAGATTACAAATAACAATTAGGAATACTATATTTATATTTTGATGAGGTAAGTATGGGTAGTAGAGCAGTACATACATTTTTTAAACCTAATACGGACATGTACCTCTTAAAGTGAGTTTCCTATATGACTACAAATTAGAAAAATAAATAAGATGATGTCATAAACCAGTTATTAGGGGTTTATGTAATAAATCTAACATAGGATTATTATTAGTACAGATTATCTTAGTATAAAGAGACTTGTAAAAGATAAAGTACTTTTACTGCAAAAATATCCATAAATGTACCCTTGCCTCAGTGCTTTTAAAGGCAAATTTTAGAGGTTATGTTTTTAAACCAGGAAAACAATAATAAACAAAATACTTACCTCATTATGTAATTTGAATTTTGGATCTACTAGCACCAAATAGAAAGGTATTTCAAGTTAAAAATAAAAAAGAAATATAAATAGATTTTTTTTTATTTTGACGGTTAAATTTTTTTTGACTTGTTGTGACAGCTGACAACGCATAAGCTTGAAAAAATAGATTATACTTATCTTTGTCTTTCACCATTCCTAAAAAAAGACAAGGATATATTTCAAATAATCTATTGAACCAAGAGTTTTCATTTTTTTAAAAACAGGTAGCCCCACCAAAATTCAAAAATCAAATGGGAAAATAAAGCATTTCAATCCTACAAGACTCGCTACACAAATCCATAATTAAGTTTTAAGTAACAATACAAAAAAAAAACAACAAAGGCATTCTTAATTAGTTTTTTTTATTAAACAAATTATATAGCTAAAACTTCAGCTTTGATTTCTGAGCTGGGAATGGTAGGAATAATTTCCTCCTTGGGTTCCACAACAGATACATTGTCTGGCAATGGTTTCTTGGGTCCCATTTTGCCTGTAGCATCATAAGGCAACATAATTTTGACCTTAATACCCAATACTCCTTGTCTGAGAAGTACGTGCCTGGTAGCAGTATCAACGTAGTCATTGCATGGGTCTCCAGAGTGGATCATAAGTCCGTCAACGAACTTCATGGATTTAGCTCTTTGACCTCTCAGTTTTCCAGAGACTACTACTTCGCAACCTAAATATAACACAAATGAGCAACAATTTCATAAATAATAGCAATCTTTTACCTTTGGCACCACATTCCATGATGTACCTGAGTACACCATAGCAGGCCCTCCTGACAGCCAAACCTCCGATCAGTTTGAATCTTAAAGATTCAGCCTGAGCGATGGCGCACAAGCCCCTGTTGGCTACTTTTTCTCCGTAAAGCACTACAGAGTTTTCAGGGAAGTTGAAACGTTTTTGGACTACGGAGGTCAATTCTCTGATCCTGCGGTTTTTTTCACCCAATACACGGTCGGTTCTGGTGGCCATGATGATGATTTCAGTACGTGTTGGGGTAACACGTACTTCAACCCCAGAATAACCATCTTCGGACAATTCTCTGGAATAAATAATAATGTAAACAAATATGTAAATGTAAATATGAAGAAGTCATTTTTTGAGTTTCAAGCTCATTATTGAATGTAAAAAAATAGATTCTGGAAACTACATGAAATCCTAATTTATCTTTGCTCATTCACCACCCATGCCACATGCAGGATGGTGATGATAATATCCACTTTTCCCCAGGAAAAATTAATGTTTTCTGTTAAACAAATTAAAAGGAATCCATACCTGGTTAAGAATTCGTTCAATTCGGCTTTGAAGACACCGTCTCCGACGAATTTTCGCTTTTTTGAGATTGTGGTGGCCATTTTTCTGCTAAGAGGAGAACGGAAAGAAGGAACAAGGACCACGCGGCGATTGACAGTTGCTCATTGAAAGCTGTCACGTCACTACTGACAGAGACATCCAAACCAAAAGCGTGTTCCGTTTGTTTGGGTTGTATCTGGTTGTATCTACAGTGGCTAAATAAACCTTTACATACAGTGGCGATACAGTGGCTAAATAAACCTTTACATACAGTGGCGACAATAGAGGTTTCGCCGCCATCTTGTTCCCAACCTCTTGTTACTTTTAAATATTAATATATAGGATTTAAATGGACATCTATCATAAAAAATTGAAATCGACGTATTTGATAACCATTATTAGGTCCATCAAATACGTTGTTTTCCATGATTTATGATGGATGTTCACCTAAATCCCATATATTCATATTTAAAAGTAACAAGGGGTTGGGAACAAGATGGCGGTGTTTTCAATATAAATATATGGGATTTTAGAACCAATCAAAAATGAGACAGCAATTGTTGCCACTGTGGGTTATAGAGTCACTGTAAGTGGCGACAATAGAGGTCCCGCCGCCATCTTGTTCCCAACCTCTTGTTGCTTTTAAATAATAATATATAGGATTTAAATGGACATCTATCATAAAAAATTGAAATCGACGTATTTGATGACCAGTATTAGGTTAATCAAATACGTTGTTTTTCATGATTTATGATGGATGTTCACCTAAATCCCATATATTCATATTTAAAAGTAACAAGAGGTTGGGAACAAGATGGCGGCGTTTTCAATATAAATATATGGGATTTTAGAACCAATCAAAAATAAGACAGCAATTGTCGCCACTGTGGTAATAGAGTCACTGTAGTTGTATCCGGCCAAGAACACTTTAACCAAATAGGATAGGACTGCTTATTAGGCAATCTCAATCACGTGATTTTTTAATGGCCGTTCGGGTCAAATATTGCGGTGACAAGCCGGTGACGTTTATAAGGAGAGCATTTGTGTTGTGGCCCTTGTGGCTTTCGAAGTGAATTTTATGTATTTCTACGTATTTTCCATTGGTTTTGGTCATATTGTTGTTTTCATAGTGAATTTTATAGTTTTTAGCATGTCTACGTATTTTTTAGTGTTCTGGTCCTTGTTTACAAAGTGAATTTTATAGTGTTTATGTTTCTACGTATTTTTTTAATTTAATAATAAATTCTGAGATGGAGAGTGAATATCATTAGGTCTGTTCCCACAGGAGTCTCTGACAGTTTGAAACCTGTCAGAAACAATCGCTCAGCTGAGTTACAGATTTATCTTGTAACGACAGCATTGAAAACATGTATGGGCGATGGTTACTGACAGTTTGCAAACTGTCAGAGACTTCTGTGGGAACAGACCTTTAATGTATTAAGGGAAAATCGAGCCTCTGTTAGATCCTTTCTTTTAATTGCAGTAATCCATAAAGCCCTGCGTTGTTTTGATAATTCACTTTTGTAGATCAAAAGCCGATGATTTAAAATAGCAGGAACTGAATAAAATTTCCCATAAGCCCTGTTACCTCAACTTCCACACCCAATTACGATGCAAATCGCTGACATTTCAATTAACACAATACCTAAACACACAAAAAAACACAAAATCCGATAAATTAAATCTTGACGTTTGTCCAGAATGTGACAAAATCAATGACATATAGAATAAACAGTGCTTGACCCGAACTTCCATATTGAATTTCGTTTTTGACAGGTCAGTAGATTGCCTAATACGAACAAGCACTTTTGTTACCTAAATTAATGAGTGTTTCTGGGCTGAATTAAGTTGTTTCATCGTATGCGCATTTCTAATGTGCTGATCAAAATACAAGGTTGTTTGTAAGGGGTAGGTCATCTGATAATTTTTATGACGTCATCTGAGGTGCTTAAACATAATAGGTCTGTTCGCACAGAAATCACAAACCAGTCAGAGTGAATTTCATTGGTTGAAACTACTTTTCTTGAGGGTCGGTTTCTCAATAGTGGGTCACCTCCGCCGGGTTAAAGTTGTAGCACCATTGACGACGTCATAAACCAAGGATAATACACAGGCCGCGTCCAAGGTTTCTAAAGTTGAAAGGTTGTCTGGTAACGGGTAAATTGATGACGTATCTGGGATGCCTTATGGAGATTTGCATTATGTTTAGGCCTACAGATGACCTCATAAAAGTTATCAGGCAACCTACCACTCTCAAACAACCTTCGGCCCCGTTCGGAAAATAGCTCCGAAAGCATATCGATAAAAAATTTGATAGTTGTCACGTGTTTACGTATAAAATTAATATGAAGTCATCTGCGATGTCATTTCCGAACTCGCCTACACTACTACTACAGGATAAGCTTATCCTCATAAGGCCTGTGTAGATCAAATCTCAAGCCCCCCACCACGGCAAAAAAGCAGTGATGACGTAGCCAGCGTGTCGTTTCTCGACTTGACGTAGGTTGTTTGAACCAAAAGTTATAATTTCGCGGGGTTTTGCCTGTTGACTTATGCATTAGTACATTTTGATATTCTAAAACAATGCTTTTTCAGATCTCGTTCGCATCTTTTTCGTTGCCTTATTTCGTTGTTAATCAAAATTAAATAATATTTGTCATCATAAATGTAAAGTGCGACAACTGAATGAACCTTGGCAACGTATGAAGAAGCAGAGGGGAAAACAAAAACCTATACTATACGACGCGACGGGTCACCGACGTGGTGCATTGCGAAAATTGCGGTTACCCTGACGCGACGACCCGCGTATATGTAATCTCGCGCCAATCAGGAGCGTTTTCTGTAAATTTAAAGCTTATTCCAAAATCCATTCAGCAAAAAAGTTACCCCATGTAAGTATGTCGTTCAAAGCCATTTTTCAAATGATCGTTAAATATTATTTGGCAGTCAAAACATACGAGAAAACAGGAAGAAGGCGAAAAACAAACATATTTGTTAAAAATTTCAAATTATTCAAATTCTAATGAATTTCCATTTATTTACATTTCCCAGAGCAGGACAAAACGAAAATAGACGTAGATAGCACTATACCAAATGAGAAGAACCGTGCTGCTGACCACGGTATCCTATTTGACAGACCAAAAAGGATATCAAAGTTACGGTGACGACATCATTTTCGTATCCGAAATTGGTTGGCAGGTATGCATTTGACAGACCAACCAGGGGTACCAAACCATGTACCAAAGCTAGCCGAAATCGCGTAAGTATTCCTCAAACTCACTACTACGAATTGCTTATCGGCCTCGTTTCTGGTAATCGCCGCCATATTGGTGTATCACCATTGCCAACGTCATTAACTAAGTTTTCAGCGACGTCAGCTGTTTGCGCTAGTGGTTGAAGTTTAGAATTTAAATTTATGATGAAAAATATTATTTAATTTTGATTAACATATAGGCAAATAGGAAGATGCAAACGAGATCTAAAAAATATTTGTTTCACGGTCGTTTCCACTACAGTGGCTAAATAAACCTTTACATACAGTGGCGACAATAGAGTTCCCGCCGCCATCTTGTTCCCAACCTCTTGTTACTTTCAAATATTAATATATAAGATTTAAATAGACATCTATCATAAAAAATTAAAATCGGCATATTTGATGACCATTATTAGGTTCATCAAATACGTTGTTTTCCATGTTTTATGATGGATGTTCACCTAAATCCTATATATTCATATTTAAAAATAACAAGAGGTTGGGAACAAGATGGCGGCATTTTCAATATAAACATATGGGACTTTTGAACCAATCAAAAATGAGACCGCAATTGTCGCCAGTTAGTTTCCACCAACTATTTTAGGGGAGCCTTAACGATAAGTATTCCTTAAACCTTTGAATATAAAACTACAGGAAGGAGCGTTTTCTATCTGTCACTACAGACAACGTAGGGACGGAAACGGCCATATTGAGCCTCCAAGTATGACTCATCATTTGTTTTGGTGGTTCACTGTGTCCTCATTCAAGTGCATGTTTAATGAATTTTAGCTTTTTTAACTGATAATAAGCACTGGGATTAGTGCGAAAAGAGTGAGTCATTATTGACAATCATATTTAAATAAATATACGCCACTGCCAAACCGGAAACACTAGTCGGCCATATGCAACCTCCACATATTCTGGTCGCGCAGATTCGAGGTTATGCTTCTTCTTGTAGTTTTATATTCAAAGCCTTAAACTGACATTTCTCCATGTAAAAATTTCATTTTAGGGCAAGGAGAATATACACACTATAAGGAGTGCTTATCGGCCTCGTTTTTGGTAATCGCCGCCATATCGGTGTGATACCATTTCCGGCGTCATCATAACTAAGTCGTCAGCTGTTTAAACAGCCTACTACGTCAAGGCGAGAAATAACATGCTGTCTACGTCACAACTGGTATTTTGGCATGGGTGGGAAGGGGGGGGGGGGGTTTGTTACACACAGGATGATATTAGGATCATACTAACAGGGAAGGTTAAGGGGGCTGTCAAAAACAGGGTGACATTAGGTGACGTACACTCGATCGACCTATTGTCCCTCGATTTTAATCTGATACTCGGACGGAATGTGAGCTGGTGTCTCCCTACATTAGAACGCCAATGATTCCCTGACGTCACACCTGTTTTTGCCATATGAAACACCCCCTCGCTCCTCATACGGGAAGTGTCAGTTAAAAATCGACGAACAATACGAATGGAGATTTATACGAAAATATACATAACTAAATAATCAGACATCAATTATTCAAAATCTGAACATGGGATTAAAATGCCAAACAGTCTACGTCAAGGCAAGAAGCGACATACTGATTGCGTCACAACTGGTGATTTGGCGTGGTGGGAGGTTTCAGATTTGTTCTACACAGGCCTTATGAGCATAGGCGATCCTGTAGTAGTAGTAGTAGTGAGTATTGTCCTTGTCCTAAACTGACATTTCTCCATGGAAGACTACGTCTATTCTTGAAACCACGGAACAACGTTCTCATGAGACAGACTCCGCCTTTGTCAGTGCTATGGAAATATGAAAATGGACGATTTAAGGCATAACTTTCATTCTCAAGAGAACGCTGTGCTCCCCGTTTAGAGAATAGGCATTATTTCGCGAGGTTCACAAGTACTCAAGCAAAATCTGATTATGCTGAGTTATATGATGTATCAATTGTGTCATACTTCCCTAACTCCCTTCCAATCAAATTTTGAGCCTCCGAGTGACCTCACTATCAGCAGCTCTTAGTGATGACGTCACCCGCAGCCCTCGATGGAATGCTCGCGATTCAGGCTGTGCTAGTGAGTTAATTTTTTCGTCGATTTTAAATGTAGAAAAGGTGATTTTTAGCCTGTTCTCACAGAAGAAATTAAAGGTTTGTTTGTTTGTGTCGCACTAACTTGAACTGAGCTATAATACCTACTTCAGATTATGGCAGATAAAACCATAATACCATAACACAAACGAACGCCCCAAAGCAGAAAGTGCTGCTCCGAATAACACAAAAAACAAGCCTTAAGTGTTCTTAATCCTCGAGTATCACAGAGTTTGATAGTGGGAGAGTTAGGGGAGTATGACATATTTTGAAACATCACATAATCCAGCTTAATCGATTATGCTTGATTATTCTCGGGAAAACTTGCCTATTAACTCACAATCACAGCCTGAATCGCAAACAATCTCAAGCAATCCATCGAGGTCTGCGGGTGACGTCACCACCATCGGTTACTAATGTTGGTGATGTCATCCGCAGACCAACTGCCGACTCGAGAACTGGCGAACGTATACGCCTTATTAGGTTGAGCACAGGCGAGAACTGCGAGAAAAAAACGTAAAATGAATTACAAGAACTTAATAGCCCTGATTGACGCTGCTGCCTCTAGCGGGAAAAGATCGAACAAAAAACCACATACATAAAGATTTTTATGGTCCTAGGAACATAATGGACACATGTCGAGTGTTGACGACAATAAAGTCCAAATTATGGACCCCTTTAAGATAAAATAAATTTCATCTTTATGCGAAATTCACAATGCTTTTTGCTGCCATCTTGTTTATTTTTCATTTTCTTGAGTCTCCCCGTTATTTGTATTCAGTTTTTCTAGTTTTTATAAATTCAAATTACAAAGTTTTTTAATATACGTACCTATATTTCAATTGTAAACATACAATACAACGTAAATATCAATAATCTAAATTACCATTACCCAAAAATACGAACAATATAAAATCGAAACATAAACAAATTTTATAATAAATCATCTAACAAAAGTTCCTTTTGATCAATCGAATTCCTCCGAAACAAGTTTAACATAAACATTAGATTTTATAGCAACAAAATTTATACACATAAGAATTACAAAAAAAAAATCAAGGATCACATACTTATCACAACCAAAATAAGTATTTACTATTTTTGTGATTAAATTATTTAAACAAATAGGTTTCTATCAAAATTAAACCAATGCAGAAAGAAAAAAATGAATAAAATATCTACTTATATGGATTCCAATGGATATTCATGAAAATACAAAGACATGAAACGATAATAATAATAATATAGGCAAAAGAAAAAATACTGATAAATGTAAAAACGGAATAAAGTAAATATAAAAATAAAAAATTATAATACCCATTACCAAAAAGCCAAAAAAAAAGCAAAATAAACAAATATACAATCAAATAAATTGAGAAAAATAAAATAAAATGTATTCACGTGTGACATATTATTGTACTCTTCGGCAATAATAACCAAGCTCCTTGCATTTTTCGCACAAATGCTGAGGATGCACTTTCGATTGATCCGAAACGTCTAGGCCGTCTGGTTTTTCCAAAGGCCTCTAAAATATATTTAAGCGGAAATTAGTTTCATTTTGTTTTAAACCTTGTTTAATTTTCACCTGTTTATGTGGGTAAACCAAAATTTGGCATTTCATACAGTCCTGTCCCATGTTGGACCACGAATTTCCCGACATCCATTTCCTTTTGCATTTGGGACACTTGTACTCTCCGAAACAACGTTTTCTGCCTTGATAGGGTGTTCTGCCTTCTTCTTTAGGACGAGCCTTATATACATTAAAATAAATATTATTATAATAAAGCAAAATACGCTCGTTTTTTATCGAGTTCGTTGTTAGTTATGGTTCGGTCTTGTCTTGGGGTTGCGGATTTATGGGGTTTCAAGTTCCAACAGACGGATTTTACGACCGGCTGTTGAGGCGTTTAAGTCACGCTTTGCAACTAACATGAGCTGACGGATATCAGTTGACTTTTTTAATTGCCCGGCAGTGTGAGAAATATGAAACAGAGCAGTGTGAAAAAGAATTTTAACCCTAGTTGGATTTTTACGACCGAGCCAAAAAAGGCAATAAAAATTATTATTGTACCAGGAAATTATTAATGACCAAATATTTGTATTATGCATTGTGAGAAAAACCTAAAGACTCCAAATCTAAAAAGTTGTTCCATTATTATCTTTGTCTTTAAGATTCCATCACAGAGAAGAAATAATCTCTAAATTAAAAAGTTCGAAAACTCAATCAATTTGTGAGAGGTGTGTGGAAGGTGGGCATTCAATAAGGTTATCCTGTGTTTTTTCCCTAAATTTCTCTAAGGAATAAAAGAATATCCACGAGCCTGGTATAAAAAAGTGAGGAAATTTCAAAAATCATACTAATCTTAAAATTCTGAATTCTCTACAGCTTCTGAACGAACGTAGGGTTCCATCCATATAGATAGCATTTAGAAAAAAAATCAGTTTTGTTGAAAACCACCAAGAAAGTTTTTACTTCCAATCAAGGAAGGGTAAAAAAGATTCCAGAAAAAAGCGATATCGAATTTGAAAGAATTTTTCTACATATTTCAAAAAGAAATTTAGGGAAGGTTGTATTGAAGTTATTTTGATTTTATTTAATATTATACAAAGGAAAATTTCTAGTGCATGTGCAAATTCCTTACTTATCGCTCTAACAAACGAATCTTTGACCAAAACACCAATAACAATAATCGCCATTAATTTTTATGGTTGTACATACGATAAGGCTTTGCGCGTTACGAATTCCCAGAACCATATAGTTAATAAAAATTATTGCTTTTGTTTTCTTATTGTTACGGACACGACGAATAATCAGGTTCAAGATAATTTTCTGATTAGTGAAGCAAAAATATATAACATGGGTTTGTGTTAATCGCCGTATACCTATTCGTAAATATGGTTTAATATTGCGATAAGAATTGAAGAACAATGAAAAACAGTAGCGACATTTTTCATGATAAAGAATGATTAAGTTTTAAGATATTTTTGTCTTTGACCTACGATGTTCTATAGAAAGTTCATATAAAAGAATAGCTATGTCCATCAGACAAAAAAATGTTATCTAATAATGAAAATGTGACATGTGATTCATTGCCTCATTCGTTTTAAACTCATAAACCATTTGAAATACAAAATAGAGAATGGTGCAGAGGGCACACAAAACCATAGTTTTGACCAGTGGCGTAGCTAGGCGTCGGCAACGTCGGCGAAAGAGTCTTGCAAAAAATAGGTTACCGAACCTAAAAATTGGTACTTTTCGATTTTCCAAAATAAAACGTAGAGAACAAATAAACTTAATCCTATACGAAACTTAACTAAATATCATAGAATTCACTAAACATTGTCAATTCTACTGCAAAATAACCTAGAACTCTCAAATCATATGGTTTTTTTTTTGGCATACATTGTCGGAAGGATTTGTTAGCGAAAAATTGAAAAATATTATTATTTTTGACTAAATATTGTTATTTCGTACGTAGTATTCTGTAGTATTAGCCTTCTTCCAACTTCCAAGGCTTTAGATCAAGTGCCTTAGAATCTTGCATTGGTCTCCAAAGCAATAATTGTCTTCAGAGTCTTTATCCTTAAGACATTTCGAAACCTTCAGGATTTTCAGAATCTTCAGTCTGCAATGGCCCTAGAATAATTGATCAAGACGCCGACATCTTTTGCATCTTCTGATTTTAGTTCAGAAGAGTCCTTATTTCAAAATATTTTGAAAAATGAGTCTTCAGAGACTTCAAAATTCCCAGAGTTTTCAGTCACGAGCCTCAAAATCTCTAAGGTGTTAAAAGTTAAAAGATTCTTCCTAGTTTCAAGGCTTTAAATCAAGTGCGTTAGAATCTTGCATTGGTCTCCAAAGCTATGGTCTTTAAAGTCTTCTTAGCTCTTAGCTCAGTAAAGTTCTTATTTCAAAATATTTGAAAAAAAAAAGTCTTCAGAGACTTCAAAATCCCAAAAGTCTTCAGTTAAGACTTTTCAAGATCTCTAAGTTTTGCTAAGTATAAGGATTCTTCCAAGTTTCAAGGTTTTAGATCAAGTGCCTTGGAATCTTGCATTGGTCTCCAAAGCAGTGGTACTTAGAGCCTTTATCCCCGAGACATTTTGAAACCTTCAGGATCTTCAGAATCCATAGTCTGCAATGGTTCTAGAATAATTGATCAAGACGCCAATATCTTTTGCATCTTCTGATCTTAGCTCAGTAGCCTCATGAGCCTCAAGACTTTTCAAGATCTCTAAGTTGTTCAAAGTACAGTGAAGCTTCACTAATCCGGATCAATAAAAACCAAGGCAATCCGAAATAATGAAACATCCGGATTATTGGAACCTTTTGAAAAGTAACAAAAATACGTCAAAACTCTAGTTTATTAACTCAAAATAGGTGCTTATTACATAGTACAGTTAATTTTTGCAAAATGTGTTTTTCCGCTAGAGTTAACGTTTTGTGTGCTCTATTTGGTGCCATGATGCTTCCTACCGAGCTTTCCACTCTTGCCACAGAAACAAACGCATCGTTTTCGGTGAAATAAGGGGATTCACCGACATAGACTTTGGTACCGCCACCTGTAGCGATTGGCCAACTGCGCAAAAAATTATGATCCGGATTATAGAATCACAGGTCATCCGGATTATAGAATACATAATGTTAACATCTAATATTTTAATTTTGTCCGGATTACTGGGAAATCCAGATTAATGGAGTTCGGATTTGCGAAGCTTTACTGTATTAGGATTCTTCTAAGTTCCAAGGATTTAGATCAAGTGCCTTAGAATCTTGCATTGGCCTCCAGAGCTGGTCTTTAGAGTCTTTATCCTCGAGACCTTTCAAAACCTTCAGAATCTTTAATCTGCAATGAGTCTAGAATAATACCGTTGATATACCCGAAAAAAAGGGCGCGACACTCAAAAAATTCCCGCCTTCGGCGGGCCTGCCGGCCAGCGGCTACCCGTCCCTGTCGTTATATCTAGCTTTTTGTCACAAGAAATATTATGGCCACCCTACATAAAAAGAACCTCGCAATTTAGATGTCGCCGACGTCCACGTTTGTTTTGGCTACGCCACTGCTTTTGACCTACCGAATCTACAATAATTGATTTTCGGCTATGTGTCCAGAAACCTATAAGGATTCTATTTTTTGTCCTAGAAGAGGCTGAATTAAGAAACTATGAATACAAGATAAAAATGACAGAAAATTGTGTGCCATAATCAATTTCAGTACCCAGAAGAGTAGCACTTTCATTAATGGATAAAGCTAAAAGAGAACAAGCAAGAGCAGAGAAAATAGTGAATCAAGAGATAATTGAGCAGGTGGATTATAATAATCCTACTCCATGGTGTGCACCAATGGTTTATGTCCCCAAAACAAATGATTAAGTTAAAATATGTGCTGACTTCACTAAACTCAATAAATTTGTTTTAAGAGAAAAATTTATTTTACAAACAGTTACTATACACTGGCACAAATAGGAAATGCAAAAGTATATATTTTCAAAATTAGATTGTGTATCAAGTTTTTGGCAACTTCCATTATCCGAAAGTTTGAAGCAATACACTGCCTTTTTAACACCTTTTGGAAAGTAGATTTTCAAAAGAATTCCTTTCGGAATTACTTCAGCTCCAGAAATTTTTCAGAGTACAATGAATAGATTTTTCGATAACCATAAAGGGGTATTAGTACACATTGATGGCATTACAGTTTTTGAACAGCATGATAAAAGGTTAAAAACTGTATTACGAGACAATACACTTACCTTAAACGAGTCAAAATATCAGATAGGCATTTCGGAAGTGAAATTACCTGGACACATTATTGGACAATCGAGTCTAAGGATGAACAGTGACAATATTAGACCTTCAAGAACCCAAAACAGTGACAAATGTGAGGCAGTTTCTCGGTATGATAAATCATCATCAACAAAATTTCTTAAAAATATTGCAGATGAAACAAAACCTCTACGCGAACTTTTAAAACGTAACAATACTTTTCAGTTTAATGATATCTATTGACAGTGTTTTAATAAATTAAAAATACTTGTCACAAGTGCACCAGTTCTGAAGGCTTATCATGTTACTAAAGAAACAAGAATTCTCGCAGACTCGAGTTCTTTCGGAATTGTTGGCTGTGTAGAACAATTACAACTAGATAGGAGATGGGCGCCTGTTATTTATTATTCAAAAAGTTTAGGTGAAACACAACAACGCTATGCCCAAATTGAAAAGAAAGCATATGCTATTATATGGGTATGTGAAAGACTGGAAGAGTACCTTATAGGTAAATCATTTACTATACAAACTGATCATTTACCACTTTTGAGTATCCTAAAGAAGAAATCTATAAATGATTTGACTGTAAGATTGCAACGATTTAGATTTAGATTAACTAGATTTACATTTGAGATTGAACATGTCACTGGAAAAAAATTATATGTACCAGATACGTTATCAAGACAGCCACTAAAACATAATGGAAAAGATGTATTGGAAGAAGAAGTTGAATGCTATGTAAATGTCATAAGTAAAGAGACTGAAGATAACTTGAAGTTAACACACCAAATGCTTGAAAAAGCACAGCAAGAAGAGTTTCAAAAACTTAGTGAATATCTAATATAGGGATAGCAAGAAAAAAGCATCACAAGTAACTATAAGACATGTCAAAAATATTTCAAGTATCGTAATGAAATTACATATTATGGCAGTTTGTTGTATTACAAAGACAGGCTTATAATTCCTTCATCTATGTATAGAGAAACATCAAGGCATAAATAGTTGCAAATCTAGAGCAAAACATACTGTATGGTGGCCTAATATTAATAATCATATCATAAAAACAGTACAAAATTGCCATGACTGCTTGAAGAACCAGAGTCAGGTAACAGATCCTATTATGACACTTCGAAAATTGCTAGACTTACCATTTCAGCATGTATCAGCAGATTTATTCCAGTACAGAAATCAAGTCTACCTTGTCATACAGGATGTGTAGGTACTCAAGATATCCAGAAGTTATTACACTAAAAGTGAAAGTGAAGACATTATTGAAAAATTGAGAGAAATCTTTGGACGTTATGGAATTCTAGAGATATTATACTCAGACGGTGGACCACAATTTGATAGTTACAGTTTCAGGAAGTTTGTAAAAATTTACAACTTCAACCACATTAAAAATTAAAAGTAGCCTCAGGTTTCCACTAAGTAATGGTTCAGCAGAGAGAGAGCTGTACAGTTAAAGAAAAAACTGTTGAAAAAGTGTGAAGATCCTTATGTGGGAATATTAGCATACCGCAATACACCACTTTGATGTGGAAATCCTCCTTCAGAACTACTAGGTATTTGGAAGAAAACGGCGAAACAGAAAATTTTTGGTAAAACTGCCTGAAATCAAGGAAAAGGATTTAAACATTAAGAAGAGAGAGAAAAGCGGAAATACTACAGAGATACAAGGATATGTAAAATCTGAAGGAAGACAAAGACGAGAAAAACGAAGACCAAAAAAATTTGATGATTTTGTTATGTAAAATTTGTTTACTATAATTCAAACTTCTTTGTTGTCATTGTTAGTTGACATTCAAAGTACTAATTATTTAATGTTATGTTAAACTCCGTAAATCCTCCTATGGTAATGTACTACCTATATATTTTGAAATATTTTTTCAAAATTAAAAGTACAAGAGATGTATAATAATATGTCAAAGATAGGAGGAGTTTGAGAGGTGATGTCACTATGTGTTAGAGAATAAAGGTCGTATGGACCCAATAAACGTGAAAATTCTTACCTGTGGACAATCCTTTATGTAATGTCCTTTCTGGAAGCACAAGTGACACAAATAAGTCGTAGGAGGTCTCTTCAAATTCCTGGTATCTAGCGATAGCTCAGCCAGCTGATCGGTAATTTCGATTATCTTGTCGTTCGAGTAAGAATTATTCAAATTTCTTAGTTCGTTCAGATTAGCGATATTTGTAGCTGCATTGCTGTACATATTGTAGCCATATTGTCCATTCGAAAAACTGGCCGAGCTCCATGAAGGACTCATCAGCTTCGCCTAATATGCATGTGGATTTTTTAATTAAATTATTGTTTTTTAAAAATCCCAATGAAAAAATACCTGCTGATAGAGTTCGTTTTGGTACTGGTACCAATTGGCTGATGGATAGGATAAAAGTGAATTGTTGTTTGATCCAGAATTTCCATATTCCTGATGTAAACGCGAATGCCTGCTGAAACGCGAATACTGACTGGGTTGACTGAACAGGACTGCCGTGGGTGACATGTCTATGTCAGAAATCTTAAAGACGTCGCATATGAACCTAAATAATGGGAAAAAAATTTGGTTTGATTCCTGGATGGATTTTAACTCAAGAGGAGCGGACTTGGAGTGTTTTCAAGTGAAATATTTTGATCTTTGATCGTTACCAAAATGACAATTTTCCTGCGGTTATGGTTATCAGAGAAGGTAATCAAGGAAGTCCGAAACTCTGTTCTCTACGTCAGTATTTTAGTGTTGATTTGAAATGAAAGACCAAACAAAATAAGCAAACACTAATTACGCCATTGATGATTAATGAGTGTAAAAACAACTACAAAATTACCAAATTTTGTTCGTTTTGTTTATTTTTTTCTCAACGCCCAAACAGCACAGAGACATCTTAAAGACACCCCTAACGACATTCAAGACGTCTTTTAGACACCTGCTTACGTCTTAAAGAAATTTTGAAGACATCGATGTTACAAAGCCCAACGTCTTGGTATTTCAGACGTCTGCCTAAAGACGTCTTCAGGACTGATATTTCATTATTATTACCTACTCATTTTATAAATTCTAAAGTAGGGAAATAATGAGAATCTGAGAACTTGGAATAAAAAAATTCAAGCATTTCAAATGCAGGTCAGTGATGAATGGGTAGACACAATTTTACTTGCTGGTTTACCGGAGTCCTATCAGCCAATGATCATGAGAATAGATGAGAGCTTGGGGACTGCAGTAACAGGTGACTCAATAAAAACAAAATTCCTGTAAGATGTTTCAGTGGTTAAAAGACCTGAAAATACAGTGGCAATGTATGGTGCAAGTAAGAACAAAAATTATTCTAAAAGAAATAAGTCTTCAGGGAATAATCAGAAAAAGGGCCAAGGTTTTAAAGGTCTCACTGATGTTATTCTTGTAACAAGTGTGGTCATTTTGCATCTAATAATAAGAATAAGAGAAATCAAAACGAAGCCTTGTTGTCAGCTTTTTCTGTAAAATGTGTAGATTCTTGGTATCTTGATTCACGGTGTTCAGCTCACATGACATCAAACAGAGATATATTTCATACGGAAAGAGAAGCAGGTTCTAAATTTGAAAGTTAATTATTCTACAGCCGTGCAGAAAAATCAATTTTCCGCACGGCTGTCAAAAAAAAAAAAAAATATAATAAATTTCTACAAATTATGTACCTAAACACTTGCGGAAAATATTTTTCTGGACTTGTTAGGTAAATAGCTATTACTGTCTGAAGTCGGAGTCTCATGCATCCGTTTTTCGACGTCGGAGGGTACGACGAAACTCTTATCGTATGAAAATATGTCAGAATAGAAAGTTACTAAGACAGAATCATCAAAACCTTTTGAGCTGATACACTCTGATCTATGTGGACCAATGCAAGTGGATTCACTGTCTCGCTCAAGGTACATATTTACACTTCTGGATGATTATACTCACTATATTTTTGTTTATTTTCTCAAAAATAAAAGTCAAGTCACAATAAAAATACTCCGTACCGATAATGGAGAAGAATTCTGTAATGTTGAGCTTTCTCGAATTTTAGAAAATGCTGGAATACAACATCAGCTCACAGTTCCCTATACACCTGAACAGAATGGTAAGGCCGAGAGGTTGAATCGTTCAATTTTAGAAAAAAATTCGTTGTCTTCTGGTAGAGGCTGGTTTACCACATATTTTTTGGGCAGAGGCAGTGAATATATCTGTGTACTTACTTAATAGAATTCCTAGTCAACGTGTCGAAAAGACACCGTATGAAGTCTAGACTGGAACAAAAACCAGTATTGCTCCTCATGTAAGAATTTTTGAAGCACACATTCTGAGCCAAAACAGAAAGAAATTGGATCCAAAAGTAATTCCAAGTATCTTTGTTGGTTATAATTTGGAGTCGAAGGCATACAAGCTTTATGATCCACTAAAAAACATAGTAGATATTTGTATACAGAGATGTACAGTTTCTTGAACAAGAAAAAGGTAGCATACCTACTTTTGGAAAAAAACAATAAAGAAACGGAAAAAAAAAAGATTTTTTCTTTTTTGATGAAGTTGAACAAGAACCAGTAGTAGAAGAAAATGGTGTGGGAGATAATTATTCAGAAGAAGAGAATGATTTAGAAGAAATTTTACTAGAAGATGACACAGATTCAGATTACCAAATAAAAGAAGTGGAAGTTAATAATTTAGATTCAGTTGTAAGACCACAGAGAGAGAGAAAGGTACCTGAAACATTGAAAGATTATGTTATATACACAGCAGTTATTAACACAGAAGAAGAAGATCCTATTGATGTTGCTGAAGCTCTCAAACGGTTAGATAAAGAACAATGGAAATACGAGATGAGTATGATGCACAAATTGAAAATGGCACATGGGAATTAGTCAATCTTTCACCAGACAAAAAACCCCATGAAAATAAATGGGTGTTTGAAACCAAAACAGAAAAAAATCAAGTTAAGTATAAAGCTCGATTATTCATAAAAGATTGTGCTCAGAAAATAAGCATCGATTTTGAGGAAACATTCACCAGTGATTCTATAAACTTCAATACGATTTCGTTTAGCACTAGCTCCTGAAGAAGATTTAAATATAGACCAGTTGGATGCAGTCACAGCTTTTTTACAAGTAGAGCTGACTGAAGAAATCTACATGAGACCTCCAGAATATTTTGATAAAACTGACAAAGTTTGCAGATTCAAAAAGTCCATCTATGGATTAAAGCAAGCAAGTAAGTGTGGAATCGAAAGTTGGACCTGAGCGTGGAGATACTTCTCAATCCTGGTATATTATTAGGTGACAGGTAGATGTAAATCCATATAAAATGTGTGCATTTCTTGGACATTAAACTACCTGTATCTCGAAAACTAGTCATAGGATCAAGTTCTGGCTATGAACACTTTCAATCAGAATGTTGAGAGGAGCATCATATCAAATTTTCAGAAAAATTGACCGAATCCCAAAATCCCATAAGAAGTGTGGTCCTTTATTAAAAATATTGGTTTAAAGCAAAGTCAGTCAGATTCTTGTATATATTATAAAATTAATGATAAAGTAAAACTAATAGTTGGAATTTATGTGGATGATATTATTCTTTTGTCAAATAAAGAAAAGGCAAAAGAAGAACTGAAAAATCAACTACTCAGAAATTTCAAAATGAAGGATATTGGAGAACTCAAATATATACTGGGTATGCAGATAACAAGGAACAGAAAATTGGGAAAAATATGGATTGATCAAAAAGCTTATATTGAAAAGGAGGTTCAATATGGAAAATGCAAACTTGGTAGATATACCATTGGTAGCAGGAGAAAACCTAACCAAATGATTGAAACAATGAAAAGCAAACCTTCTCAAGAAGCTGTGGGAAAAACAGCCTACTGTTGCGTTGTCTACAACAGAGGCTGAATATATGAGCATGGCAATGACAGCACAAGAGGCTCTATAGTTGAGAGATCTCAGTAAAGATTTTAATTGCACTGAAGAACCAACATTGTTATATGTGTATAACCAAGCAGCACAGAAATTGGCACTAAATAGGGGTTATCAATCCAGAACAAAGCATATATTCATAATTTCTTGAAAGGAAAAATAAATATGGAATCCTTAAATTAGAATATGTGCCAACTCAGAAGAAGTTAGCTGATTCTTTTACAAGATCATTGGACCGAGTAAAATGTATTAACTATGTCAGAAACCAAGGACTTACTTCAGAAAATAATTTGAAGTGAGAATATAGTTGTCACGATATTATTTTTTGGCGTGTGCCTCGTGTGTATCAATTAAAGTTTCTTCACTATTAGTTGGGGCTAAACCTTCATTTCCATTATTAGTGTTCAAGGCATCCCAAAGACATTTCGCAGACGTCGTATGTTACAAAGTCCACCGTCTTTCAAACGTCTGCCTAAAAACGTTTTTATGATTTTTTTCCAATTCATTCTAAAGTCGTCTTCAACGAGATGACTTCTTTGAACTTCTTTTTAATATATAAACCATTATGTCTTCAGACGTAATGCAGACTTAAAAAAGACGTCTTTAAGACTCTGTTGTGCTGTCTGGGCGAAGCCCTTTTCAATCTGATTAATACAGGAGAATATAACTGAAATCGATCAACTGCTGCAATTTTAGAAACATGAAAAGACCAAGATCGCTTTGTATACGTACCTACCTCAATGATATGTACATAATAAGTAGATACTATATCCTATTCACAATCTGTAGTCCAAAGGTACAGGTAAATTTATCACCTTTCCCTATCAAACAGCATTGAAAGGTGATACATTTTACCTGTACCTTTGGACTGTGAATAGATAATATGTCAATTGAAATTGTCTAATTGAAAACCTAATTAAAAAAAAAAAAGAAAATAAAAATCACCTTTTCAAGGAACTCATAGATTCCAGGTCATTGCATAGTTCTTTCATGGTTTTAAAGCGTGCAAAGCTGCAAAAATAAAAAAAAAAAACATTCCTGTGCGGAGAGAGCAACAAAAAAAAAAAAATGCTGAAAAAATAATAATAAAAAAAAGCTGAAAAATGCAAAAAAAAAAATTATTTAAACCAGATAAAGTTCATATAATAAGGAAAAAAAAAACTTAGTTCACATGTAGTTATAATAAGGTTTATTCCAGAGTATACAGGGTGTCCGAAAAGTCAACGATAATACTGGAAGGGCTGATGGAGGAACTCATTAGCATCCAGAAAAACGTAATATGACCTTAGTAAATAATTGATGGTTTCCGAGATATTGTCACTTTAATAAACTTCGTTAAAATCGTCCTCTTGGATCAGATTTTTGAGTGTCACCTTGGAATTTTTATTACCTTATTCTAGATTCTCAATTCAGTTTTGCAATGGTGAATAGACATTTCATTTGTCATAGACCAATATTAGAAGTCAAAGCTCAAAACTTAATAAAAAATGTTGGTCTATGACAAATGAAATGTCCATTCACTATTGCCAAACTGTATTCAAAATCCAAGAATAATGAAAATTTTAAGGTGAGACTCGAAAATCTGATCCAAGAGGAAGATTTTAACGAATTTTACTAATAT